CTGTCCTGGAGGAAGTGCAGCCAGAATGCTCCTTGGAAGCAAGAATGGCCAGACTTCGTCTCACCTATTTTGGTCATGTTGTAAGAAGGTACCATTCCCTGGAGAAGGATGTCATGCTTGGTAGGGTGGAGGGTTGATGAAAGAGGGGGAGGCCTTCAACGAGATGGATTGATACGGTGGCCACGATGATGGGATCAAGTATAGCAGGGATTGTGGGGCTGGCGCAGGATCGCGCAGTGTTTCATTCTGCTGTGCATGGGGTCGCTATGAGTCGGAAACGACTCGACGGCACTTAACAACAACAACGACATATCGTTTGATTCAGTATAAGTGCTTCCTCTCCTTCTTTCCCAGATCATGACTCATAAATGAGAGATTTCAGGAGTGGGCATCTACCTCATTAAAATTCATTGTATTAGATTCCATCAGAAAATCCAAGCAGTGTGTCAGAAAACTGCATTTAGCATTTGCCATCACAGTTAGTAAGATGCATAATAACTAAAATATTTTTGATGTGGCTTGACCTCTGATACCCTCAAATATTCATTTAAATAGCAGTTACAGTTTCAATTGTTGATTGATAGTTTGGTCTGTAAGGACCTAGTTTAGGTGGTCATCTATTCTTATCTAATGACAGTAGTATTAATATAACCCCCAGGGGTCAATTTCAAAATCTTAATTCTCATAGCAAAAATTCAGCCAACATTAGAGCCCCGAGGCAAATGGGTCTATGAAATCTGATTTGGGCAGTGTGGGCCAGTGCTGGGCTATTCATGCTACTATGCCCTCAGCAGCAGCAGCAGCAGCAGCAGCAGCAGCCCAGGCCAGACCTCTAGCTTCAAGGCTGTGGCTGTGGTTCCCCAGAGAGAGTAGGGCAGACCCTGAGCCTCCCCCCTGCAAAGCTGTCCTCAGCCACAACTCTGCTTTCTGTGCAATTACTGGGAGATCAAAGGTGAGTCTGCTTCTTAGCAACTGCCCACACTGCCTCTTAGCCTTACTTCCTCTGTAAAGATGGCAGTTTGGCTAAGCAGCAACTGATTGGAGCAGGAGTAAGGCTAATGCCTTGAGAACTGATCTTGCCCTCTTGCAAAAGCAAAGGTTAGAGAGGTTGTCTGGAATCCTGACCTAGAGAGAAGATCCACCCTCCACAGGTAAAAAGAAAATCCCAATCACTTCACATTCAATCCTTAACATACAATTCAATCACTTTGAAAAATAATACACTTTTGCTGCATTTATAAAAGGAAAGAAGAAAACAAAAACTTTAAAAAAATTTTAAAAATCCTCTTAAAAGGTTATATAAATAATCTTATTAGTAACAAATATAAAACATTTTTAGACACTTGGTGACTTGTTTAGGTTATGTTTCAAACAGAAATGGATACATTGTGAAGTTTTATAATGAAAATTCTCTATTTGGTAACAACTCTAGAAAGACTTCTGTCAACAAAGTAATTGTTTTGGAAAGAAGAATTGCAACATTTTCCAAAATGTTGAAAAGAATAAGGATGTAAACACCACATACTCAAAATGTTAATATAATAATATTAATTCAGTTAAATAAATAAAAGAAAGTGGCACCAACTTTATGGTAATTTTTCAACACAAAAATGTAACTCAAGGACATTTTAAAAATAAGTAACAGCTCCAAACAGGAATGATCACTCTCAACTAAACCAGCAATATTGTAAATAAGGTGCTATGAGAAAAGGTAGCTCTACAAACTTCAACTTATTCACACATGAACAGAAGTGTTATCTGGATCTTTAGGCCTGAAATATGCATCACATGGGGAAAGTCAGCTTGACTAGAAGTCAGGCTTAGGGCTGTCCTTTGTCATTTTTCTTTTTTCTTCCAGCGTGTGTTTAAATATTTTCTTCAAGGTGTTGTAAACTACTGGTCCATTTTCAGAATCCAAACTAACCTGGTGACAAAGAAAATCTATTTTTAGTGCATTTTAACAAGAATATTATGCAATTTCTATTTTGAGAGAAAAGAGATAAGTGGAGGGAAAAAAGCTAAGACTAACAAAATTGTAATTTTTTATAAATATACAAAAAAGAATATTAGAACTGTCATCCATGTCAGTACCAAACTAATGAATGAAGACTCAAAAATAAAGTCTAGTACCTGGATATGTAGCATAATCACATACACCTAGTCATGAGAGCAAGTATGGACTGAAGTATGAAGCAAGTATAGAGTATGAAGTAAACTAATTACTAGTGGTAGGAAAATATTCTTCATTAAAACAATGCACATTAAGTTTTGTACTCAGAAGAGGCCCTGAAGGTTACTCTGGGCAGCAGAGTCAGCACAACCAAGTGGAAAGCCTGGACTTACCACTTGTCGTCTATGAAGCCTCAAGCCAACTAATCTCTTTGGGCCTCAATTCCTCCCCTGTAAAACAGAGATAATAATAGCTGCCCTAACCTCTTAGGATTTTTGTGAGTAATAAAGGAAATCATGCATGAGATTCTGATGTATGCTTGGCACATACAAAAAACTCAACAAAAGTTAGCTTCCATTCTCCTTGGTGGGAAGGTACCATGCACACAATTTGGATTCTTCAGCAAAGTTCACCATACTCTGGGGTTAGGAATGATGGTAGAACAAAGAATCAGAGCACTTACTACACCTAACCCCATCCTCATGCCCCAAGTAATGTGACTCACTGAGAAAGAACTGGGATCATTTGGTCAGTGCTTCTCCCCTCCTGGAATCTCTCCTTCTCTAATAAATCTTGACAAAAAGGTTATTCCCTTTATCAAGAACTGTGAAGGATGTGACATTTACCCTATTTGTAAGCTAACAAGTCAGCCTGTTATATTTTCATGGGTGCTGGTGGAAGATGTCAGATTTCTGGGTCAGAGACAAATAACCTTATTACTCATGGTGCAGCAGGCAGCATGAGCTTCATGTTAACCTCAATTTTCCTCTTGCTATCCAAGACCCATGGGAGTGATGTGCAGGTTACTGTACATGCAGTAGTAGGTTCGCACCACAACTGAGGAACCCCAATCTTTTATAAAGGGGCTATAAGTAAGCCTGTAAAAACTTTGCCCTAAAAGCAAGCATTATTTTTATTATACTGGATAGAAACCATATCAGTTCTCTGCCCTGAAGATAGAAACTATACAAACATCCTTGAAGGGATAGCCTGGGAAAAAAGCTATCAATGCCTCTGCTCATAAGACTATGCAGAAATGTGAGCGATCAATGCAGAAATATCTCCTAACATTCCTATAGACAGATTTAGAACAACTGATGTATCTAACCTTTCCCTAGTATTTCCTTAAGAGTCCAACAGAAGTTGTAAGGAATTTTTACCTCTTTTAGTGAAACCAATATTGTTGTTGCTGTTGTTATGAGCCGTCGAGTCAGACCTGACTCATAGCGACCCCTCCTTGGGTTTCCGAGGCAGTATCACTAAGGAAGTAGATTGGATCATCTTCCTTCTGAGGAGTGGCTGGTGTGTTTGAACCACCAGCCTTCTGGTTAGCAGTCAAGTGAGTAATTTTTTCTTCAGTTAATTCAGAAACTCAACTGTATTTTAATTATTGTCTATCCTATTTGTCAAACTTCCTTATTAGTATTAGTAAGTTTTAGTTGTTTACTTCCTTAAACACTAAAATACATCCTTCCTCACATAATAGATAGCCTCTCAGTATATAATAATATAAATACAAATTTTTGGATCATACAATTTTTGTTTTAGACAGGTTACTTGGAAACTATAAACAATGCATAATGGCTAATGCTGTGAATGAGCACTCTAACACTAACGGACTTAACATAACTAAAATGGCTGACACAGGTCTGAATTGTACTCCATTTTGTCCTAGATATCTACTTTTGCTTTTTAGAGTACATAACCCATGACCATACTCTTGACCAAGATAATTTGTTCTGCAGCATTTTGAGGTGGCCCTTACAGAATGTTGCAGGAAATAGAGGGAACCAACTCTGCAATGCAGGAAACTGTGGCTAAGATTGAATACCCCAGCCAATAGAAATTCTTTATGAATAAGTCTTATGAAAGCATGTTGAACATCAACCAATCAAATGTACCCCCATACTCTTCCCAACTCTACAAAGTTGTGCAAAATTGTGTATAAAAAAAGTGCCTTTATATTCCCTCTTTGGAACACAAGCAAATGATCAGTGTTAATTTCTCAATAGATGGTTTCTTGTTTAAACCCAAAGTAGAACTGGCTCAACAAGAAAACATTCTCTGGCTCCTAAGAGGCATATGATTTAAACATACTTTCTCAACACCCAACTGTTTCCTTCTCCTATATGAAAGCTCTTTGTTCCAATGTTCTCCTTCAAAAAACCTATACTTCAGGTTTTGCTAATATCACTGTTAGGAAACAGTGATATGTTCTGCGCAAAACTCTATAACTACTTGCAAGAAATGTCAAAAATACTTTCATTACGGAAACGTTATCAATTTCAACTTGTATGGACCCTCATATGACAGAGTAGAATTAATCCATAAGGTTTTTTCAGGCGGTAGTCTTTCTCCCATGGAGCTGCCGTGGGGGTTCCAATCACCAATATTTTGGTTAGTGGCAGAGCACTTAGTCATTGTGCTACCATAACTAACAATTTTATTTCAGAGAAGACTGATGGCCTGTGGAATCTGGAAGGGGAAAGAAAGAGTACTACTCACCTTAGTAAAAGCTTTGATAGCATGAGCCAAGAAAGCTTCCTCCACATCCACAGGAATTGTCTGCAGATTCACTATGCAATGTAAAATGCAAAGAATAGTCTGGTGTTGCCCCTGTTTTTGCAGAAATCAAAACCAAACAAGTTGTTTGAAAAATTCTTCAGGAATAAAAACTCAAAGCAATTGCAGAACCAGAAATTTATTTGAGACAAATGCTAAAATATCTACCGTCAGCTCCAAAGATTATTGTTATGAGTTAATATAATTTGAGAAGTTTGCAGGAGATAATCCATATCAAGGCTGGTTAGTAATTAAATAGAAGTACAAATGAATCTGAAGATAAGTGAAATTTTACAATCAAATGTTTTTTCTTGCAGTGAATGGGATATATGCTTTTATGCTGTTGCTTCTGGATGTAATCATCTCAGTCAGGCTATTAGAGGCTGACATTCCATAGTAACACATGGACAAGTCATCGGAGTACCGAGCAATCACTACTTGTGCACTCAGCCCTGTTCCAGATACTATAGAAGGAAGAGGAACAGAAGAAGAGAGATAACCCTGGCTGTCCAGGAGCATGCAGTCCCCTAAAACAGCAGCCTCTGTCTCAGTGGGGGAAAAAACCCTTGAGAACTAGTATTTGGACTTGACTTCTAGAAGTTTGTCACCTTACAGAAACACAGGAGAAATTCCATCACTTTAAGCAATACACAGCAAAGGAAAAAAATATCCAAGCCGTGACCCAATAACTTTATGCTCAGAAATCTACTTTAAGGTCATAATCTGAAATTCAGAAAAACCTGAGTGCCAAAGTTATCGTTATAATGATACCTATAAGAGTATATGGTGCAAGTGGGAAGGGAGCTGTTGCATTGTGGTAAATTGTAGTCAATGTCATTAGATAAAGTGTATATGAACTGCTGTATGGAAAGTGAATTTGCTCTGTAAATTTTCACCCAAATCACAACATAAAAAAAAGTATATGGGAGCTGTGGTGGTGTAGTGCCTAAGGCATCTGACTGCTAACCAGAAGGCTGGAAGTTCAAACCCACCAGCTACTCTTTGGAAAGAAGGTTGGACAATCTACCTCCTGAGTGGCACTGCCTCGAAAACCCAAGGAGGGGTCACTATGAGCTGGATCCAAGTTGGCGGCAATGAGTATAAAAGGATATGCCTTATGCATGGTGGGTGGGTAGGAGATGTTGAGTGAATTCTGATAACAGCAGATAACACGACAGGAAAGGAAGTGAGGAAGTGTATGAGCTTTGTGACAGAGCAACTGGATTTGAACTCAGATCTGACACATATTGTATACTGGGCAAGTTGCTCACCTTTCCTTTTGGTAAATTAGGATAACACTTTCTACCTGTCAGGGATATAAAAATGAACAAAGGAAATACTATAAATTACTTCCTAGCAAGGGCTTTGCTTATAGCCACAGAATAAAAGTTAATTTCCTACTTTATCACCCTCTTATCTCTACAATTTAATTGCTGAGAAATAGTCTAAGAAAAGAGTTTAAGATATAGGAAAAGACTTCTGTTTAAAGATATGCAGTGTATCACTTTGTATATGTGTGTTGCAGGGAGTGCAGATTTTCATTGAAATAATGAGAAGGTAATACTGACACTGAAGCACAGCACAGTAGGTAATTCAATGCTGATTATTAGATAACATTGTTTTCTCAAACAAAAACAAAGCCAATTTTTAACTGAAAATTTAAAATCTCTATATAAAAATGGAGGGAGCTCTGGTAGCGTAGTGGCTAAGGCACTTGACTGCTAACCTGAAGGCTGGCGGTTCAA